AGAGCCCTGCAGCCGAAATAGTAGCTGCCCCAGGCCTTCTGCACCCCTGGGGATTCTGCACCCAAGAGCAGCACTGCTCCGAACAGCTCCAGTACAGGACACCAGCCAAGTGCCTGGCTGGAAAAAAAACAACCCAGTACCTCAGTGCAGAAGGACTGAGCCAGAACCTAGCCCCTTCATCCCCACTCTGTTGATGACAATTACCTTTCAGCAAGGTCTGCAAAAGTTAATATGCCCCAAGCCCATGTTTTAATCTATTTGCTTCTTACATGGGGACACATCAAGATAAAAAAAAATCTGGAATGAAGGACAAGAGGCAATGCCTGTCAGTGTGACTGAGCTGCAGGGCCGTGGTAGAAGATCGTTTTACTCATTTAAAAAGAAAGTAAAAAAGTAATTGGCTAGCATGCAACATTACATACAGCTTCAGTAAAAAACAAAGTATGGTTACAGCCACAGCATTCTCAGCCACCACCTTCCTCTCTCCTGCTCCTCCCTGCACACATACACTGCTGGGAGGTGACGCAGCCTAGAGGAAAGCAGGACAAGAGCTGCCACCTCTGACGTTAATGACCTGAACTTGAGAGAGAAGGTTCAGGACAGAATTTCTCAGAGACCTGTTTCATTTAGTGGCACAGAAGTAACATGAACCAGTTTAGGTCCTTTAATCTGTCCATGACAGGGTGCTGAAGCACAAGTGATAAAACATTCTGCATTTTTACAGCAAAAATGCTACAGAAGTTTATAGGAAAAAAAAAGAAAAACAAAACCTTTTGTACATGGGTAAAACATTATAAATTCAAGACAACTCACAGACAAGGGGTAAATTCCCACATCTATCGCTCATTTTTTTTTAAAAAGTTCGTTTGAATAAGCAAGCAGTCAAAATGGCTTGCTCTCTCTTCCTTGAAATGAAAATTGTATCTTCCAAGCGGCTCACAGTACTGCTTCGCATCTTGGAATGTCCTCCGAAGGCTCCGCCAAGATCAAAGGAGAATAAAAACCCCCGGAGTCCTTTCAGATAGTCTCAGAGAGCAGAAGGGAAAGGAAAGGGGAAGTTTATTCAAACTTTATCTTCTTCCCTTGTGGCTTGTGTTCTCCACCTCCTCCTCTGCCTCCTCGGAAGCCACCTCCTCTACCTAGAAAGTAATTAAGACAAGAAGCAGAGTTACAGGTTGTCCAACCCACCTCAGCACAGGACAGAAAATATATTCATATTAAATGCTCCATGGTGACACCACACCATAATCCCAAGCTTCCATTTAGTTTTTGAGCAACCTCCCTTAGAACAGCAGTTGTTTGCCTCTTCTTACCTCCAAATCCTCTGCCACCACCTCTGCCACCAAATCCTCCACCTCTTCCTCCTCGGCCTCCTCCTCTGCCACCACGACCACCAAATCCACCGCCAAATCCGCCGCCCCGCTGAAATTCACCCTTTGGCTTGGCAAAATCAAGGATCACCTTGTTCCCATCTATCTCTCCATCCTCCATGGCTTCTTTAGCTGCTTTGGCATCTTCTGGGGAGCTGAAGTCCACAAACCCAAACCTAGGAAACAGGTTAAGAGAGTATGATTAAACTCCGCAAGCTGTAGCACCACCTACAGGTACTCGACAGCAATCCCTTTGGAAACAAATGCCTACACTCCTGCAGCAGCATTACTTGTGGAACAGCAGTGGCTGATCACAACGGATGGAGTCCTGTTGCGAGTTTGCCAGTACTGAACAGTTAATATTCTTCTCGTGCGAATCCATAGGCTGCCATGGATTTGTTGGCAGGAAGGAGCTCATTGAGAAGCAAGTCTATGAACAGACCACCCAGAGCTGTATGCAATCTTGTCTTCTGGTTCCCTCCAACTTACCAGCTTCAAAAATCACCCACATGAGCATGAGTATCACTCTGCACTGCAGTTATCAGTTGAAGCGAGACTTTGCAGCGACCCAGCTAATCCATAGTGTTTTAACATACCCTTTAGATGATCCAGTGTCTCTGTCTGTGACTATTCTAGCGCTTATAGAGCCTTCAAATGATTCTCTTAGCGTCTCCTCTGTGGTGTCCTCCGAAAGACCTCTGACAAACAATGTTTTGCTTTGTTCTGTGCAAAGAGAATACAGAGATCACTAAGCCCTAGCAAGGTAGCCACCAGTTTCCTAACATAGCAGCCAGCTTGCATTGCTGACTCCTACAACAGCTGGCAAAGGCTGAGGGGTTGGTTTTGAAGGAACAGCTCAGGCATTTAAACTAGTCCTGGAAAAAGCTTTTTCAGAACTGTAGTTGGGACCCGACATCAAAAGCATCTCCATCAGCCAACCTGATACTGTCTAAGTATTTTTTCCCCTTTTTCTTTTTTAAATAAATGCTTGCATCTTACCAACAGGGACACTAACTGGACAGATGCTGCCGGATCAGCACTTGACTATCTAGAGGACTTCGGCAGTAGTTTCATCAGCATTTCAGATAGTCAGTCATCATATCCAGCACACTCCCTTTCGATGCAAGCTTTTCACTCCACGGACATGCAGCCCTACATTCACATGAATAGTACACTCCTGTCACAGCTGTCTCAAGATCAAACCTGAAAACTTACGATTAAATCCTCCTCTTGCGTTCGTATTGCCTTTCTGCCACCCTGGTGAACTGAATTCCAGTCTGATCGTTCTGCCTTCAATCTCTGTGTTGTTACAGGAATTCAGTGCCTCTTTGGCATCTTCAGTGGTGGGGAATTCTACAAATGCGTACCTATTTGGAGAGAAAGATTTAGGTCAGCCTGGGAGCATATGGGATCCAGGGAGGCAAGTCATTTATAATGCCAAAGCAGGAGAACAGCACAACATACCCTTTTGGCCTGCCCTGGTTGGTCTGTGGCATCTTGATGGAAGAAGCTTTCTTGAACAGTTCTTGGAGAGTCTCTTCTGAAGCAGCGTATGAGAGATTGTTCACAATTAAGGTCTTTGACTCCCTCTCTCCACCTCCTATGGAGAAAAATCAGAAAATTGCTGTTAAGTGCAAGTTTGGAGGAGGAGAGCTCATTGCCTGTAGTTACAAGACCCTCTCTAGAATGAAAGTAGTTGCTGCCCCCTTCTCACCTCAAGGTGAGGCACAAGGCAAAGTGCAACACTGGTTTGGTCATCTAGAAACATGCACCAGCATCAGAATGCACAGCACAAGATATGCAAAAGGTCTCTTCCTGCTATCTTAGTTTCCCTGCAGTGCTTCAAGTTGCTCTATTCCTAGCAAACTTCTTAAACAAGTGAAAATAAACCCTAAATGTCATACATAAGCACATTTTTGGTTTAGAAAAGTACCTTTCTGATGGTCTTGATGGCTCTTCTCACCAGTAAAATCAATAACCATGGCACGACCATCAATCTCTGTGCCCTGCTTCTCCTCCAGAGCTTTGTTTGCCTCAGCTTCTGTTTTAAATTCAATGTAGGCCATCCTACAGCACATGAAAGGACATAAGCAAATGCCTCCTTCCATAAATGATTAAAGTTTGTGAATGGGAGGAAGGATGTGGAAGAAAAATACTTCAAAAATTATACAAATAATACAAAGGAACAGCAAACATCCAACAGCTACATACCCTTTGCTATTCCCCTCTTTGTTCATTACTATTCTGATTTCTTGTGCGTTTTCAAACACCTCTCTCATTTCATCTTCAGTTAAGCGGTAGGGCAGATTCTTCACAAACAGTGTTCTAGCATCTCTCTCTGCAAAAAAAGAAGTTACTTTCACATTACCAGCTAAAAAACCCTTCTCATTTACACTGCCAGTTTAGTGAGAATCAGTGAGTTGACCCAGCAGAAACACCACTATAAAAACAGTCGCACTTTCATGAGCTGAAAAAGTAACTATGATAGAAATTAGGCTGCCACTGTACTTCTCTTAAGAGCGTCAAGATCAGAAAGGCCCACATTTCCTTCTCAGCCCCTCCCCCCCATGCACACTGTATTTCTAGTGATCACATTTCCAGATATTCCTGTCTGAACTTGCCTAACTGTATGTTAGCATTTGAGAAACTCTGTATTATGTAGAGCCCAAACCAGGAAAATCTGCCTTAAGAGTGCAACAGTGGCCACCAGTAACAGCGCTGACGTTACTGATCCAAGCCTGCTCCAAGACCTGATGACATCTTTTCTTTGATGTGCACAGGTATTTGGAGTTGTAGGTTGTACCTTTCTTATTTTCTTTCATAGTTTCCTTGCTCTTTGCTTTTTCCAGTTTGACTTCTGAACCCATTAACTTCTTCCCATTCAGTTGGAGAGCTTTATCCAGATCTTCAGCAGATGAAAAGTCTACATAGCCGAATCGCCTAAAAAAAAAGTAACCTTACTATTAAAACTGATGTACCTCTAGTAGCAGAGAACACAAACTCACAGAACAAGAGAGGTCCCCAATGGTCAAGCTAGACTGTTAGTAAATGAATGCTAACTGACCCACATAACAGTGCAGAACAGCAGCTCCATACTGAAGTGGCAGCTCTCCCTTTAGGGAGATACCTCTCCAAACAAATTACTGCCAATGGTAAGAAATTAGCAGCAAAATTCTACTGATGAACTCACTTGGAAGCACCAATTCTGACATCTAAAACTTCAATATTCTTCTTCCCGAAGAATTCTTTGAGACCAGTCTTCAGTTCATCATAGTCCTTGGTGGGGACCAGATTTCCCACGAAGACAGAGAAAGCTGAAGTGGGCCCTTTAAATGAAAAGATATATCAAGCTGGGCTTTAAGGCTTTTTTTTTTTCCCTTAAGAACTGAAACAGAGAGCTTTAGCACATCAGTTTCTGCTCAAAAGTGACATCATATTTCAGTATTAAGTCCCTTATTATCATCACTTGTGCTGGAAAAAAGCCCCACTCAGCACTTCACAGTTACACACTTCACCCATCAGTCAGTAACAGTCCATCAGCAAGTGTTATTTGATAAGCCCATAACCCCTACCGTCTGTTTTCTTTTTCTTGGCCTCTGGTGCACTTTTATTAGCCATTTCTTTCTTCCTCTTTCCAGGTGCTTCCTTAACAGGTTCTGTAATAAGAAAACAACCACAACCACTGGTAAGTACAAAACAACTTTTCCTACAATGGACCGATACTGAAGCATTAATCTGTACACCCATCATGCACAAGACCTTCTCTTGTCACTACAGGAACTGCTCCTCTGCCCAGAAGACCATGACAGGACAAAAAAGTTGCTCAAGCATAATTCTTAAGAGTTACAGCCCCAAAAACCATTTAAACTCACTTTCATCCTCACTTTCCTCCTCATCCTCCTCCTCATCCTCTTCCTCTTCCTCATCCTCCTCTTCATCTTCCTCCTCTTCAGAGTCTGCCTTGGCTTTCACTGGTGCAGCCTTTGCTGGAGTAGGCTTCTTCACCTGAACAGGAGTTGTGTCCATGGCTTCATCTTCAGACTCTGAAACAAGTTGAGCATAGGATTTCAGACATATTCAAGATTAAGCCCCTTCTGAGACTAAGACTTGTAGAGTAAAATAGCGTCTTTTGTGCTTCCTTAAGTTTGTATGTTCTCAGGAAAGGAGTTGAATAACACTCACTATCACTCCCACTAATCCATTAAGTTACACACATCCACTCTCGCTCCCCAGAAGTGCTTATTAGTTTAACATATTTGAAAGATCTTTCTCCTTTTTGCTTTGAGTTAGTTTTCCAAAAAACCCACATACCATCATCTTCTTCCTCCTCCTCATCCTCCTCCTCATCCTCATCTTCAGATTCTTGCTTCGCTGGCACAACTGCAGGCTTTTTGGCTGGTACTGCTGCAGGCTTTTTGGCTGCAGGCTTCACAGGCATTGCTGGTTCCTCTTCCTCATCTGCACCAACAGCACAGCAACTGTTAACCCATACCACCCAGAATTCAAATTTTGCTAGTAGAGTACCTTCTTGCACCAGATTTTGGCAAAGCTCAGAGAAGAACAATCAGAAAACTAGAAGATGCTTCACACGCCCAATTAATTCTCCTTCCTCCAAACTTCACCAATTCCCCACTTTTCCTTCTTCTACACCTTTTAATTAGTGAACCCCCTCTCACAAATACTAAGTAATACTAAACTTTCAATCCTAATAGTACTGAATTTCAGCAACTTGATTGGAGCAGTTTTAGTCAGCTTATGCAAGGATGAACATGTATTTCAAAAATAGCTTACCAGATTCATCATCTTCCTCATCTTCTTCCTCCTCCTCCTCCTCATCATCTTCCTCATCATCTTCATCCTCACTCTCTTCCTTCTTAGCATTCTTGCCGTTTTTTGCTCCCTTGGTTAGGACAGCAGCCTTTTTAGGTGATGGAGCAACAGCCTTTTTAGCTGGAGTAGCCACAGGCTTCTTGGCAGGTGTAATTGCCTTTTTTGCAGGAGTTGCAGCCTTCTTTGCAGGGGTAGCAGCCTTCTTGGCTGGTGTAACTGCTACTTTTTGTGGTTTCTTCAGAGGAATCATCTGAAATACACATTAGTGTAAGACTCCTACAGTGGCCCTTTACAGTGGCCCTTTAAACTATTATTACATCGCTGTCAGACAAATATATAGCAACTACACTCTAAAGCATGTCCTTCAGGCAGTTTCTGTTTAATGACATTAATTTCCTATTCTATGGAATTAATAAAGCTCAATACCAGCTTTTTCATGTTTTTAACAGACTGCTTATGGAACGCTAAAGCATCTCCAAATTTCCTGATCGTGAACCAAGACCAGTGGTATCTCTGGTAGAGTTCAAGAGCTTGAAATTTTTAGTGCTGCATGTTATTTATGTGTGACAAACCAATTATTGCCAATGCCTATCTACTGCTGTAATTACCTGCCCACTTGCTGATCCATCCTAGGATGGCTTTCAGATCCCAGCAGTCCTTCCCTAAGCCTGGACGCACAAACTGAGCAGCAAAGCTACTTTTCCCAACACCATTTTTCTCTTTTGACATCCAGTTTATTCTTGAGCCACAGCCAACTGACAGACACCAACTGCTTATTAATGTCGACTTTGTGTCACACACTATGCACCCCCCCATGACACTTTTGTAACACGTGCATCCTTTCTACTCCATTTTTAGATTAATCACCTCTTCTCCACTGCTTTCCTCTAGCTCAGAGGACTCCTCTTCTTCACTTTCCTCGACCTTTTTCGGGGGAGGAGCCATTTTTTTCTGTTTAATCTGATTCTTTGGGGTCTGAAAGAGAGAGCGAGCTCTTAGGTAGCATTCGTTTCTCTGCCCGACACCGAGCAGCACGCTTATGCTCCGGGGCCGCCCTGTCGGACAACTGCCCCAACCACGTGGCTGCCCCGCCTTGTCCCCACCGGCCCCACGCGCAGCCCCGCGGCGCGGCGGGGGAACGTAACGGGGACAACCGGGGACGCGGGG